CCATGGGCTCTGGGCAGCTGCAGCAGGAAGGTGGGGTGTGGGGGCCACATCCATTCATCCACAAACTAAAGGCACACCAATATATCAATGCTATTTTGGGACACTGCATGCAGGCATGCATCCTCAACATGCACGTAGCCAGGCATGCAACCTGGTAGCATTATATGCATAAAAACTCAGCAGAGCCCAGCAGGTATGTCTGCGGAGGGAAAGGGGCAGGGGGAGAGGGAAGGCGCAGGAGATGCAGATTGCAGCCCTCAAGGTGACGGAACAGGGGCAGGGACTAGGGTGAATGGGACCCTGGGGCTGGGGCCAGGGCCAGTCATGGGACAAAGCCATGGGAGGCTCATCTAGGGGTGCAGCGGGAAGGCATGGGACAGAGGTGGGCTGTCTGCTTCAGGTTGGGGCTCTGAGCCCTGCTGCCTTTACCCCGGGAGCTGTGCAATGCCATGTTTTGCCTCCCGCTATCAGGCAGGCAGGGGCCACAGCGTGGCCAGCACACAGCGCCCTGGGCCAAGGCAGCAGGGCATTGAGCCCCATCCTATAGTGGGCAGCCTGCCTCCACCCTCTGCACAAATCTGGAGGGCACATGCCCCCCATGCCTCCCCTGGGGTGTGCACACCAGTGGGAAGCTGCTCCCTGGCACACTCCTAGACGAGCCACCTGTGGCTCCATCCCAATCCCCATTCCCAGTATCCCATTCACCTGAGGCCCTGCTCTGCCCCATTCCCTCCCTTCCCACGGGGGCTTCAATCTGTGCCTCTACCTCTTCCTTCCCACCCACTGCCTGCAACCCCTTCCCCTCCACAGACAAACCTGCTGGGTGCTGCTCTACACACTGCTGGACTGCATTCTTGTAGGGTTACTATAGTTTCAGTTTCAAAAAAGAGGACACCCGTTACAAGAGGGTAATACGATTGTGGGTGGGGACAATGATATGCCCATGCCCTGCCCTTGCCTCAACTCCTGAGCCACAGCACCCCCCAGCCCTGCTGTTGCCCCTCACTCCTGACCCACTGTACCCCACATCCTGCCAGGGTGTGCAGAGGTCCCCCCTCCCCAGGCTCCAACCTCCCTCCACACACCCCATAGCCTCCACACCGTCACAAACTCCCCCTGACACACACCCCACCCCCACCCCCAACCATACAAAGTACCTGCATAATTTTGCACAATTTTGAGTTTTTATGCATATCATTTTGAGTTTTTAGCTGTGCAATTAAAATTGCGATTAATTGTGACTAATTTTTTTAATCACACAATTAATCTCAATTCATTTTTTTAATCCTTTGACAGCCCTACTCTCTTCCGCTCTCTTACATCTTGTTATCTGAGGGAAGAAGGTAATCAAGTTACAGAGAGACACTTTCTCTAAAATAGTTTCCAAAGCCTTATCAAACTCTTAAAGAATTTCCCCCCTTCCTTTCCCTTGTTATTGTGACAAAGTATTTATCACAATTAACACACATGTTGGAGTACAACATGGCCACACCATGAGTACTTCACCTACGGACTCAAACTCTTGATTTCTAGACTTCTAGCCACTCACCCTGGTGTCCATGCCACCAGAGTGGAGTAAGAACTTATCCCAACTTCATTTGACAAATTTAAAATGGCTTGCAGTACATATTTAATAATAAATATCCAAAAGACAGGAAGCATATTTGAAATGCTACATTCTGCCAAACTAGTATAGAAATCTCATCAGGCAGGATTTCCCACAAGATTTCCTGTCCTTTAACTTCTTCTCCAAGACGGAAATACTATGAAAACTCTCTCCTATGGTATTAGTGACACTTCTGATTCCTATCCCCGGTCTATTTATTACTTAATTGAATACTTCTCTAATTATTGCAGAAGGTTAAAACACGTTACTAAAAGCATTATTAAAAACAGAAATAAAGCCTCAAAACCACAACAAAATCATCCCTTCCAAACTTGTCACTCCAAACATTTGTATTCTTTGTAGTCACATTCTTCTAGTTGAGGAAGACTGGCTATAAGTCCCTTCCACTTAATACCATGATTTAACAGGCCAAGGATGATGTAGATTAGCCTCACTATGTCCCCTACACTTTTAAGACAATAAGAATCAAATATAGGACTTTCACACATAAGCGAAGAGAACTACACTTAGTCAACAGTTCAGCTAACTTCAAATTTGCATTTTTATACCTATCATTTTAAATGAACATATTTCCATTACACTGTTTAAAAACAATTTCTCTTCTGACATGTTGTATTTCCTGCCTGCACCCCACTTTTTCTTTTTTACAGATAAAGCAAAAACACTTGAAAAAACAGCTATAACTACATTGGCACAAGCAGTTCTGCTCTAATTTAAAATGTGACTTCTGTATGTCCAGAGCAATAGGTGCATAATCTTGCCAAAGGAATAGAAAACTCACCAACAAGATTGTGACATATATTGAATGCTTCACAATCATGATGATTTTTTTTTCCCCCAGAGGGCAATATTTTGCAACTTCTGGGTACAATATATCTTCATCCTGATCCCTGGAGAGAGACACACATAAATCTCCTATGCACTGAGATGGGAACAAATTATTTCATCTGAAGCAGTCTCTCTTTTTTATGTTTTTCGTTTCAAATATGTACTAGTCTCTGCACTCAACAGTATATAACTCCTGAACAGAGAAACAATATAGCACTTTTCTGCCCCACCCTCAAAAAAAGGTAAACATCAGCATGAACACAAGTTTTACTGGTGTGTATGTGTGTGTGTTTTAGCCATCATTCTTAAAGCTAAATTTATTAGATTATCAAATATTATACTACTATGAAATAACAACAATACATATTATTGTTGTTGTTGTTTTTGTTATTCAGGGAGCTTTTGCCATGTGTTAAAACCAAAGACTCTTAGACTTTATTTTCTATTATTTCCACTTTGTCTTACGTAAGGTAAGGGAAAAAACAATGTAAACTGTATTGAGAAAGTACTGTTTACTTCTTCTAATGTAAAGTATGAAATCAACTGCAAAACATCACTTGCAAAGTGACAGACTGAGTCACTCTTCCTAAGGAATGGCAATGCAGTAGAAAATGTTAAAAACAAAACAAATGAGCATCAAAAGAAAGTATCATACAAAATTGCAACAGTGGAAATGAATATGTAAATTATAAACTCTGAAAATCCTGGGCATATGAAGGGCCCAGTTCTGAAAGCCTTTGCCCATGTACATGCTTTCCCCATTTCTACCATCTTTTAACTCAATGAGGCTGGCCACGCACATTCACAATTTCCACAACTCTGTTAAGGCCCAGATCCACAAAAACATTTAGATGGTTACCTCCCATTCTTTCACTGTTTTTCTTTCACTAAGAACTAGGTGCCTAAATACCTGTATGGAATGGGACCCAAACAGTTTCAGGATTGGGCCCACAGCTTCTATGGATTGGGTTCTACAACTGCTGTTCACATTGAGTAGTATCATTTTCTCCAAATAATCCAGTTAATTTCAGTGGAACTATTTTCAGAGTAGTATGTGAACTATGGGTTTCAGAATCTGGCTCTGTAGGGACAGGGTTTATTTCCTAGCATTGTCAGCCATTAAGCTAATATGTTCTTTGAAATGGGAACATCTGGAAATACTCTTTACTGTTGTTTAGGAAAGGATGAGAACACCATGGAACTACTGAAAGGCAAAAGCATATTCATAGTGTGGCGTCACATGAAAAAGTAATTTGCATGCCTTTCTACTGAAATGAAAACTTGGGGAGCTGAGAAACCCACATAGTCCATTAATAGTAACAACTTTAGTTTTTCCACTGCAGGGAGATACCACATATTGTGCTATATGTTCTGGTGACAGGGTTTTCAGCGCCATTATACCAAAGCAAATCTTCTACATCATACTGTTGCAGTGCTCCAAAGATATAGTGAGGTATTCTCTCTTTTTCTGGGTGTCGACATTCAATTCTAAGTTCCCCTGACTTCTAATTATCTTCCCAATAACTGTTTTATATTTCAACCAAATAGTATACCTTCCTCTGGGATATCAGAGGCTTACACTGTCCAATTTCTGCTCCAGGGATAGCGAAAACAAAGTATTGTGTAATAATTTAGTGTGAATGAAATATCATCTGACATAATACACCTAAAAATCACGACAGAGTATAAACACAATTCACTGCAATGAAAAGAAATCCTAAAACCACCTGGATAATACTGTCAGAAGCTTTTTGAATATTAAAATGTAATTAAGTCTTAAAGAAAGATATTAAGTTTACCCCATGCAACATCAAGACTTCTCACAGCAAAACTATTTTCACATTTTGACTGATTAAAATGATGTAGAATGTCTTAAGAGAAGAAGAGTTCTCAAATTATTTCAGATAGTAACATTATTTTGACCCAAGACCTTTTTTAGCTTTCATCATTTCACATACATATGTTCTTACATATACTTCTTTCTACCTTAATTTTCAAAATCTTTTAAAAATAATATGATGATAATATCTTTTATTAATGAAACTTTATAAACGTTTATATTTTTAAAATTCCTACCCATTAGAAGAGTTGCTAAAAATACATGTGAAATTAAAAATGTAAATGCTTCAAGAATGTAAATACCTTTATAAAAAAGTACCTTATATTTTACTGGACACAAAAAATTAAAATAGTTTCTATAACAACAGAGTTATTGCAGACACTTAAAGAAATGTTCTAAGATATTTATCTGAAAATCTGCCTACTGGTTTACTGGACCATATCAGTGAATGCAATGGCTAAATACATTCCTGACACAGTATTACATAGAACAGTTTAAAATTACTGTGCAGCAAGGCTCTATTACATTCTGTTTTATAAAACAATTTTTACACAATCTTATTATTTTAGTTATATATATTTGTTTAATCCCTCTTTAATTCTATAGAACTTTTCATGAGTGAAAAGAGTCTCATTCTTGTATAGATTTTTTTTAAAGTTACTAGCATTACATAGTAGTTAAAAATAATTGAAGCATATTACTTACAGATGTGTAAAGGAAACCTTCTCCATTTAGGGCTATATACAACCCCGTCTTTACACCCTGGATAGCGACAACACGAAGTCCCACTGGTATAAGGTTGAATAATGCTGTAAACAGAAATGTTATCTGTCACAGATGGGCTATGATAAACAAAACATTGTAACAACCAACTTTATTAAAAAATAACTGCTTTTCCCTTCAAAAAAGCCTTCTAGCTTAAAAAAAAACCAATTAAGGAAATATAGGTACTGCATAAGTTAATGTACAACTTTTACCTTGAAAATCTATTTAGATTTTCATTCCTGCAGCATTTTGCTACTGGCACAACTGTCAGTCAACAAATAAAAAATATGTCTCCCTGGATGTGAATATCACAAGAAACAGAAAAAGCTCAATGTAAGAAAGGGAATAGAAAATGTTGTCTTCTATTAGCTCAGTATGAGCATATGAGTAATAGTGGGTGTGTCTGCATGAGACTAATCTACTATGCAGTAAAGCATCACTGTTTACACATGCACCCCATTTGCTGCGCAGTAAATTTGTCTACTGCACATTTAGCTACTACCTGTAAATACAGGTAGTAAACTAAAGCAGCTAAACTATGTGTGTCCCAACAGTCAGCCCTTAACACCAGAGCGCCACAGGGGATGGGGACTTCCCCAGTTCTGGTGCTGCTCAGCTCCTGGCTCCCCCCAGGAGCTGGGAGCCAAGCAGCACTGGGCCAGGGTAGCTTTCTCCCCACCCATCCCAGCACTGCTCAGAGAGACAGCTACCCTGTCCCAGCGCTGCTCGGCTCCCAGCTTCTCAGGGGAGCCAGGAGCTGAGCAGCACCAGGACCGGGGGAGTTCCCCATCCCTGTGGCCCCCTGGTGTTGGGGTTGACTGGGAGTTGCACAGTTAGTTTACTACCTGTAAATACAGGTAGTTAGCTATCTGTGCAGTAGACTAATTTACTGAACAGCAAATGGTGCGCATATGTAGACAGTGAGCCAGGAGCCAAGAAGCCAAGCAGTGCTGAGCCTGGGGAGCTCTCTGCTTCTCTGCCCAGCCAGGGCCTGGCCAGGAGCTGTCTGTTTCTGGAGCAGCTCCCAGCCAGCCCCCAGTTGGGCAGGAAAATCCCTGAGCAGCCGGGGGCTGGTTGGAAGCTGCCCCAGAAGCAGAACAGCACTTGGCCAGCCCCAGTCTGTGCAGGGAAGCCCAGCTGGGCATAAGGCTTGTCTTCCAGCCCCATGAACATCAAAACCCATCCCAATGTGCTTGGGGCTGGGAGACAATTGCCAGTGCAGCTGGAAGAGTTTGCCTGGCCCAATGCATTTTGGGACTGGCCCCCTTGCGCCCTGCCACACTCCAGGCTAATATCCTGGGGGAGACTGGATTTCCCCCTGGCTGCTGAAGGGGGCCAGAGCAGAGTAAAAGCAGCCCGTACTAGGCTGTTTTGGTTGGGAGCAGATTTGCTTCAACCAGGGAGCATGTGTAGATGTGCTCCCTGGGAAAGCTTACTGCACAGTATTTTACAGAAACACCCAAGTTTGTACGGACACACATAGTTTAGCTGCTTTATAAAGAGAAGAGGAGCTCCTGCTCCAGAGAGCACATCAGCTATTACAGTTATTGTTACCGGAACAATATAAGTTAGCTAAATTACTTAGCTTTGACTTGGAGTGGAGCAGGCTTAAAGTTGGAGTATTTTTGCTACACTTGTATTACTACAGAGCCATGCAGGTATAACACTTCTATCACATCAGCTTATATTGAAATATGTGGATATTGACACAAGTATTACATTAATCTATACCTGGTTATATATTATCTATAGAATGCCAAACTTCCAGCTTGGCTTACACTGAATTCTTTTGTCTTAAATTCTTGAATATTACTTCAGTAACATAACTTAAATCTCACTTGAGTATAATTTAGCCTTTGATTCAAAAACTCTGTCTCCTCAGGAACTGGACATCTTTGTTGAGGGTATATTTGATACAAATAATAGTACAGGCAATCCTCGGAATTACGACATAATTGGTTCCTGAAAACCATGTCTTAAGTCAAAACGTTGTAACTCGGAACCGATTTTCCCATAGGAAACAATGTTATAAATGGGGGATTGCTTCCTGAACCAAGGCCCAATACCCTATTTTCACCAAAAATAACCCAGAATTTTGCACTTGATCAATTATAGATAATTAATATAGCTACATTAAGGTATTTATATTGTAAATAGCAATCATATTGATTTGGAAGGACTTTTTTGAGGAGACTTTGCTGGACATTTTGAAGGGCTCTTGGTTGGACTTTTTGAAGGGTTCTTGGCCAGAGTCTTCTCAGGAGGTTTTTCTGGAGTCTTGTCTTCTTTCTTAAAGAAAGTGTCCAAGGAAGTTTGGACAGTTGTTCGCTAGGGAGATGGGTGATGCAGCGTACTTTTTTGTTGGTGTGGCTTGGCATCCGATCAAGTGTTGTAAAATCAAAACTGATGTCAGAAAGTTGAAACAGGGTGTCAATTTATAAATGTTGTAAGTGTGAAATGTTGTAACTCAAAACGTTGTAAGTTGAGGACTGCCTGTACACAAAAGGCACTTAAGACCAAGTTCAGGAAAACACTTAAGGTTTCATTTAAACAAGTGCTTAAATTCCACTGGGAATGGGTTTTAAATATGTACTTAACATGCTACCTCGAAGGGGCATGCTTCTCACAAATTAAAGCTTTAAAGAGAAATCACTAGTAACAGCTACAGGAAGCAAGATACATGTTCTTAAGAGAACAGCAGTAGTATCTTTGATAAAAGTCTGAAAGAAAATAATGCAAAACTGCAAAAAAGAAAAAGAAAAAATCTCTAAACAAAGGCAGCAAGCACAGAGAAAATAAGTATGGTTATTAATTTCATTTCTAAAATTCAATATTCGTAAAAATGAAGCAGTTAAATTAATAATAACATAAACAAACAGGGAGAATTAGAAATTTTTCATCTCCATTTTTTTTTATTGGAAACCCAAAATGTCAAGATGCACTTGTACTATAGTATATGAGCAAGAAGACAAATCACATGTATGAGTCCCACCCAGTAAAACACCTGACAAAAAATGAACCCACTGAAAAAGGCTTCAGTGGATTTTGAATATTGCTTCTCTGTTTAAAAAGGAAATACACAAAACTATATGAAATGAAACCAAATGAGAAAAGGCCATGCTTTTATTCCGAATTATGCCTGGAAGCATTCATAGGTGAGCGTGTTGACTTGGACTGTGAGATTAAATACAAAATGTACAACAATACATTTTATGAAGAAGATCCTTTGATAAGCCAGAACTCATATTTGATGGGTTTTGGATCCTAGATGAGCTGTGAAATGGATTTCAAAACACTTGCAAAAGTTGTATTTGGTTGTTCTACATTAGGAAAGCAATGGGATATATGCATCAAGAAAACATGTTCCATGAGTCAGTCTGTAAAATACTGGAATTCCAATGTAAGTCAGGTAAAATGAAAATTTAATTTGCTCTATAGAAGGTAGATATGTACCGAAAATATAAAAGACCGTGGTTAGTTAAGCAATGACTATAAATATAAAGAAAAGACAATATTGTATTTGTTCTGATGATGCTGAGTAAGTGTGCTACATAATCTGAAAAGAGTGTATGCTGTGTTGGATTATATACAAAACAGAAGTGGATATGAAATAGGTTAACTGGAATATAAAAAATAGGTTAACTGGAATAACATCTGGAATATAAAAAAGCAAGACAAGAATACATGATATATGACCATGTTAGAGAGAAATGAAACCAAAGTGAAAAAGCTGTAAAACGATGTGACGAAACAACAAAAGAAAAGAAAGCACATAAAATAGAACTCCAGAAGGTACAGAAATAAATCGCAGGACTTACAGAAAAGAAAAGTAAAACATTCAGAGAGTCAAAGGAAGCATAAGACAATAATTAGCATAATATTTAGTAATTATACTGCTGTAGCTGCCAAGGGCCTAATACAAGCCAGGGTCTTATTTAGACTAAAACCATTCTCTACACTGAAAAAAAAAAGTTATGAATATGACAAAGAAAAGCGGGGGGAGAGGAAAACTAGGGTAATGAAAATCCAGTGTGCGAGTGCACAGGTTAGATATTATGTGGATTTATCACTTTGGAACATTCCAGCTCATTTCAAAACTTTAATATAACATCCTCCCTTTACAACCGTCATGTGACACAGCCATTGTTATTTAGATTGTTTCTTGTTAGGAGCCAAAATAAAACTGGATCTTGAGTAATGATCTGAAGGAATAGCCTGTATGAAATATTGCAGGGAAATTATACTATGACTAAGGGGAATGGGGAGAACAGGTAAAAATAGTCAGCAAAAACTAACAAATAACAATTGGAGGTTGACATCAAGAAGAAAATTCAACTTTTGGATGAAAATCTGAGGGCACATTGACATTTTACCTGTCCTACCTTGCTTCCCAGGACTCTCAGGACACCAGGCAAGAAAACAAACAAGTTCTTTATGAAGAAAAAAGATGAACAGACACACACGAGTTCCAGGAAAACTGATAATGATCAGGGGTCCTGGGTTTCTCTGATAAAAAAAAAATCCCCAAGTTTTGAATTAAAAAGGTAACCCCCAAATGCACATTTTTTCCATTATTAAAATATATATAGTGGTGTTTCATTTTAATCACAGAAAAATGTGCATTTGGGGTTACTTTTTTAAATCTGAAAATTGGGGATTTTTTTTAAATCAGGGAAAACCAGGATCCCTGGTAATGATAAATGACTCCAAATTATATCAGTCCAGTCAATACTTCTGGAAAGCAGACCTCATTAGCATAATTTTAGATAAGAGCAAGAGACCCCTGTGGTCCAGTGGTAGAACTCTTGCCTGCCATGCAGGAGACCTGAGTTTGATTCCTGGATGCATATGCAAGTATAACCATTGAGGCACTGACCCACTGGACTCCCCTCTAGATTCTGTCTTAATGGTCTGAAGTGGGGATAGACAGCCTTCAGCCCTCCATCT